TGAAAAGGGATTATAGAATGTTATGTATCCTATTGCTTTTTTTGTGTATCTGTCGTATTTGTAGATAAGTTCTGCTGTAAAAAATAGAGGTGGAAAAGATTGAGCGGTTATGTTTGGTGGGGTTAGTGGTAATGGATGATACACCAAACTATTAAATTTTACTGTTATCTCAAATTTAAGGGTCAAAAATTTGGATATCTTGTTCTTGTATGTCCTTGTGAACCTCGTGTCTATTTTGTAGTCTATTTAGTGCCCAATTATGTAGTCGATTGTTATCTAGATGTTGGCTAAAAAGGGGAAGCGTATTACAAAGGAGTTCCACTCAAAAGCGTAGGGGTGTATTTGTACTTTGTAGTTCACGATATTCATCGTTAATTGGCTTGGGAAAAGTGTAGGAAAGTAGTTGATCGTGTTTGACCTGTGACTGAAGTTGTGGATGGAAGTGATAGAGTTTCTGTTAGTGATTAGGAAGTATCTGATGAAATGTCTATTGTATCATTAACTAAGTTTGGTTCACCTTGAGAAAATATTCTAGTCATCCAATGTGAAAAACTTTGTGATGAACTAGGGGGGCTAAAGGGATTTTCACAAATTTGTTCAGAATTTGGTGTTGAACCTAAATAATCTGATGGAATATTTCGGGCGTTTTCTTGCGAGACTGTTTGAAGTGATGGAGGGGTGCTTTGTATTATATTACTAGAAAGATCCAGATGGGTCAATGATAGTGATGAGGCTATGTTAAAATGAACACTTGATGTTGGAAGTTTCGATTTTGTCGTGGGTGAATAATTTGTCTATCTATTGTAGTTGTTTAATTTTGGTTTCGGCTTGGATGTCTGGTTCTACTAAGGTCTTTTTGAAGTGAGGGGTAGATGTTATATATTGGCTCGTATGGTGGTTCACTTAGGGGTGCTTGACGAATGGCTGGTATTAATGGTTCGGATAGTGATGCGTGTCTTTCTTCAATTTCATAAAGGTTTTCTACAAATGTGATACGTGAAGATGATTGGGGTTGGTTTGTTTGACCAGATGTTGGTGTTTTCGGTGGGTTTTGGGATGTAGTGGTTGGTGGGTAATCTTTAATAGGATGGGGATTAGCATTTTTGAAAATTTTATATGCTTGATTTATTTAAGTCTGTGTTTTTTATAAAATTCTTTTGCAACAATAATAAGCAAAACTATTGCTAATGCAAACAAATTAATGGATTTTTTCTACATTAAAGGATTGTTAAAATGAGAGAAATCAGATAAGTTAGAAAAATTGTGAAAAGAACAGGAATGTCTTTCTGACTTAGAAGACTTCGTATCATTTATGAAAGTTTCAATTTTTGTACCTGATTAGGTGGTCAATGGTTTTGGAGAGACAAAATTAGGTTTAGATAAGGAAATATTAAAGAAGGAATTGGCCAGAAAAATTACAAAAGATAGGATTGCTTGTTCTAGAAAGTCGGTTATGAGAAAAATACAAAAATGAGAAAGTGTTGAAAAAATTGAGAGAGAGATTGAAAAGAATAGTTTTATTTGTATAACTGAGTTTGAAAAAAGAATTTGAAAAGTGATTTGCTTTGTCAAAGTAATTTTGTTTTGGAGTTGAAGCCAAGTGTGATCGAATTGTTTATTGATTTTTGACAAGTGGTTTGTGTATAAGGAGTTTTTGGTGGAAAGAAGTCTGGGTTTCATGTGTTAACTTTCCAAGTCTTGATTTTATTTGAGGAATGATTAGGGGGTTTTGCGAGGTAGAACAAATTTATTTAGGTGATCTTGTCGAATTTTACTTTTAGGCTACTTTAATATTTTTCTTGGGGAATTGCGGGGTATAAGTTGAGACAATTTTGTTGGTTTTGTTGCTGAATGATAGAAGAGGGTTGCAACGCTTATATGGTTTTTATTTAAGTTGCCAAATAGATAGGTGTTGCTTATTTTAGAACCGCAGGTCTTCAATTTATAATTGCAGATCTAGTTCACCATGGAGATGTATCGGCTAATAAAAGTTGTGGTGTTTAGAGAAAATACGTGATTTCAAATTAATTTGATTGGCCGATTTTAAACTAGTTTTCACGAGGAGATTAAACGGTTTGATTGGCTGATTTTAAACTAGTTTTCACGAGGAGATTGAACGGGTTGACTGAAAATGTTTTTTATTTTGTCTAATTAATCAGGTGGTTTATGCAATTCTACTTTCTTAAATTTTTCAGATTGTGGAATAAAGGTCTTATAATCTTTACTGAAAATTATAAACTATAGGATTTACTGGATTTTTTTTGTCTATTTAATCAGGTGGTTTATGAAATCCTAATTTCTTTAAAATTTTAGCTTGTGGAATAAAAGTCTTATATGCTTTTTCTATTGTCTTATTAATCAGGTGGTTTATGAAATTCTATTTTCTTTAATATTTTAGATTTTAGAATAAAAGTCTTAAATGCTTTTTATATTGTCTAATTAATCAGCTGGTTTATGAAATTCTATTTCCTCAAATATTTTAGATTGCGGAATAAAGGTCTTATAATCTTTTCTTGGTTGATTTCTAAGGCGAGATGTTTGACGTTGTTGTGATTTTTCTTTGATTTTGAGTTTGAGGATCTGTGAATAAAACTGTAGGATGTTTTGATCCAAGAATTAAGATTTCATAACCTTTTAATGTTTCTCGTATGGCTTCACATTCTCTCATAAGGGTAGCGAATTTAAGTTCTGCCTGTTGGAGGTATCGCACATAGCATAAAAAGTTTTTTGGATGTTCTAATGTCCATTCAAAATTATTTTTTGTCGAAGAATATTATAAAATGGTCTGAGATTGATTGATTTTCTACATATATTTACTTAAGAACTTTGGCATTCCAAGAAATTCTTGGATTCCAAGGAAGAAGCTGGGGGGTCTCAACCTCGCCATCAAATGGGCTAAACCGAACAAAGGGGGAACGGGTTCGTCGTGCGGACCAGAAACTCAAGAAGAAGTCGTTTTGAAAAAGGCCGAGAAAAAAAAGAAAACGGTAAAAAAACGCAGGAAAAACTGCAACGGCAACCAGTCAACGCGGCGTAGAAAATAGGAAAACTAACAAAGATGCGTCATCGAGTTCAACACCCCGGAAACAGCAAAAGGATAAACTGAAGAAAGTGGATATGTCCACTAAGACCGAAAATACCCTAGACACCTTCCAAAATTGGAATTTAGCGCCGGCAGAATGATAAACCTTGGCACACCGGGGTCAGGAGAAGCTCACGACCAACGAAGAGTAAATAACCCCAACGCTTTAGGGACCCAGTCAAGAATTCCATCAAAAAAATCTCGAGGAAAATTTTTCAGAAGGAGCACTTCAAAAGGCGGCTCTGCAATAATATCGACGGCGAACAACGCATTCAAAACGCGGAACGAAAGACCAATCTAAACGCGACTGAAGCTCCTGGAAAGACATCTGTTCAGACGCAAAATCGGATATGACACCTTAGACGAAGGAGTAGACTGGAACCCCAGTTGGAGGATAGAACCGGACGAAGATTAAAGAATCCAACTGAAAAAACTTTACAATTGAATTTAAACACTTTTTTTAAACTGAGACTAAAAGCTCTTATTGTTAGTACAAATTAATTCCATAATCAAGAAGAAAAGGTTTACTCGAGGGGGTATGTGATCCTGCTACTGCAATAGCAGTAACGTCATGTAACCTTCAGCGAACTATTCTATTTATATTAAACCCTTGTCCGAGGTCACTGTATTTAAAACCTTCGGTATACCGCCGAGTGGTTAGACTAACATGAATCTACGTAGATCTCAGCTGTTTCTACAGATAAAACTTTTAATTCGATTAGCAATTAAATTCTTCGGAATTATAAATTAGTTTTCCATTAAGATAGCCTCGTATGATATCACACAAGGGAAGGCAACTGTTTCAGTTGAACTGATTTTAAAATCGTTGCTAAGGCACAGACTGATCCAAAAAAAAGAAGGAAATAATTTTTTCGTGAAACGTGAAAGTGAATGAACTTCAGACTTGTTTTTTAAAAAGTTTATTGATTTCAAGCATATTTTGGTAAAGTTTTAATCTTCACCGATCAGGTTGTAATGTCTTTGCATGTATTGCACAACTATTGACAATGAAACGTCTTACATGTTTCCACAGTAAAATTTGGGCCTATTCGTTTTTTGTTCCATTTTCTTTTTCAATGTTCGTAATTTAGTTTTTAAATTTCTTTTGATCTTTCTGAGAGTCTTATCATTTGAAAAATGTTGAAAAACTGTGTATTCGGGTGTTTTAGTTTTTTCTTTTTGTTTCCCACGCAAAACCAGGTATGGGTCGAATGATATATCAGATTAAATCCTTTTCAGTCGTGATTCCAGCGACATTATAAAATTTCCTATAAAATTGCAGTGTTGAGAAAAACGGTTTAAATTTTGGGTTTTTATTCCAATTTCGAGCGAGTAAAGCGATCCAGTAACGGTCGCTTTTTATAAGTATTGGCTATTCAGGCTAAAAAAACACTAGATTTTACGAAAAAAAAAACATATTTGGAACCTTTATTGAGCGCGTTCTTGGCCATAACAATTTTCAAACAAACTTAAATACGAACTAATTCACGAACTTTCTACGCATTTGTATACTTCTTTAATCACATCACGCAGAAGAAACGACGCTAACTTGAAGATCAGACAGTTTTTTTTTTGTAGTGCTTTACGAATGTGGTCGGAACATTCTGTGCTACGTGCACAACAACCGGTTATACTGGTTACGACTTTTATTCGAAATAAGATAATTTTTTGATGGTCTTTTATGTCATCTTAATAAGTTTTGAATAAAATGTCGGTTTTTTGACAAAATAATAATCATTGACACTTAAAGCTCCTGTAGAATTTTTTAAGGTCAGTCAGCTCAAAATGTATGTCGTAAATTGGCAACAAAGGTGGTATCATTTTTTCTCGGTGCAATATCTATTAATGTAGTAATAAACTATTCACCCTGATTCACTCCAAAAAGACACATTTGGAAAACTATATTACTTTTTATTGCTTCTAAGCTACAACCAAAACTCAATATAATTGCACAAATGAGGGTCAACTTCGAGATTTGAAAGATTCAGTCATGATTTGAAAATAAAATAAATGGGAAAAAACTAACTCATCGGATTGTCAACTTAACCAGGTACAGGATTTGTGTAAATTAATTGGGATATATTTAAGTTTAAGGGTCTCAGCTTATGAAAATCTGTTTTCAGATCCCATGAAAACCTAGAGAGCTGTAAAAGTTACGCGTTGTTGCCGATACATTTAGAGCCGCTTGTGTATATTTTTTTGGTGGATTGATAAGTTAATCGAATAGAGAAGCCTTAATTGTTTGAAAAGACTACCTATTTTGTATTTGTTAAAAAGATTTGTAGAAAAATGCATTGAATTTATTTTTTCAACGAAGAACTTTTAGGGGCGTGTTGGAAACAGATTTGATTTTATGATGACTTTCATTAGATGGGTATACTATTTCTGTGGTCCGAGTATCTTAGCACGAAGGGTGAGTGAGCTGGACTCCATCATCTCGAATCTGATTGGCTGCGCGAGGAACTTGTCGAGAGTGAACTCTATGACGTACTTGATGAGCCAATACTGGTATGCGAGTAGGAGGAGGAAGGCCACTATGAGACAGTAGGAGATGACGAAGGGACGAGACATGAAGTCTGTCGGCTGGTCCCCCCGACTGATGAACAGTGCCGACTGTCGGTCCTCCTGCCACACGCACAGGTATTTGTTCCGCCGAGAGCCTAGAACATTTAATCAAAACAGGCTCAGCTCAAAGCTACTTACTTCGTTGTCCATTCGTAAATTTGGAGCTTATGCATGGTCAAAACTTGTGACGGAAAAGCATGAATGAGTTAGTAGTCAATTCAGCAATGTAGCAATTTCACTTATACACAGGTTCTTCAAACTATTTGATTAATTAATGTAAGAGGAATCTGATCTATCGAGTTTTTTCAATTTTCTGATCAAGAACCACAAAAAAAATCTTCTCACCGGCATAGAACACGGGGTTGAATCCTTCTGGGTCGGGTCCGAAGAACACCAACTCACAATTGGCAAGTCGAGATCTAAATGTCATGAACTATTAATTTTAACAATAATTATCTGGAGAACTTAAACTCCTAATCCTTTCGTAAGTGATTTGAATTAAAACTTCACAAAAAATCAGCGTTCTTATGTCATTTTGCCGGTAGCATATAATTTATACTATATTGTATTGCGACCCTGGCTGAGATTGCGTTCAGAAACAACTCAAAATATGAATTTTTATCTCGCCAGGTCTAGCCAGCTTGAGATAAAAAGCTGGCTTGAGATAAAAAGCTTTATCTCGCCAGGTCTAGTCCCACTCGATGAGATGAAATTCTCTTTGGGTCACCCTCCATGCCTTATAATAGTATTCATTACTGTTGTAATGTAGATGGTAAATTAAATTAAATTAAATCAGCACCGCTCATTATTTTTTTAAAACATCTCCAAAAAGCGTTCAAAAAAATCAAAAATTTGTCGGCCTCTTTTTCAGGTCGAGCAAATTGATTTTCTGGAGCTCTCCCAAATCACTATAAAGCCCCCATTTTGATCAAACTTTCTGCCTTTTTGGAGAATTTTTTTTGGAAAATTTTGATTAAAAAAACGCGTTTTTTTTTCGGCGCGCGCTCCCCCCTCAAGTTTAGTATATTTTGGCGCCAAAGGCGCCCTTAGAAAATTTTTTTTGGGTCAGTCAGTCAAAAATGGATATCTCAAAATAGTACAAAGGGATGTGGTGCTTCGAAGGAAGTAAGCCCGATCTGATTCTGACCTCGGTTGAATCTGTTCCAGTTCTGCCATGGCCGTGTAGAACATGGACTGTTCATTGCTGCTCATGTGGCTACTGTTGTCCCTCTGGAACTCACGCAGCTTGAAGCAGTTCACGGCCGGCTTACACTTCACCTGAAAAAGAAACGCAAGCACTTCACCCAAAAAAGAATTGCATAAATAGTTTAGATCAATAGAAAAAACTATCAAGAAAAATCAATTTTTCCAATTTTTTGGCAGAGGCGATGTGAATATCGATAATAATGCACCAGAGCTAAGAGGCCGATTTCAGGGGGCAAAGGGGTTTTAAATGCAAAATTTGAACATTCACAAAATGCTATGACTGGTTGCTAACGTTTAGAAATTGTTGCGTGTAAAAAAAATTGGAAATCGGCCGGCGTAGTTCGTCTGCAGTTCGGAGTGCTAGTTAATATCTAGACTGACTAGGGTTATATAAAAAGCAAATTTGACTGGAAAAACTTCCAAGATAAAATTTTGTCATAAATCTGATAGTTTTTGAGCTAACTGTTGCGTTTTTCTGGCATTCTGCTGAGTCGTCTTCACACGTGACCTCTGCGTACCCCTTGCCAGCACCCCCACTATTCTTTAGCACCCCGTTAACCTGTCTACGATTCACAGAACAAGGGGGGTTGTTGTTGTCGGCTGTCGTCACCACTGTTGCGTCCATTCGACTCGTGGCTAGTAAACTCGTTTCCGAGAAACCCAAATCAAGGTCGTTTCGTGTCATAGTTGTCGTTCCAACTGAGTTAGACCCGTTGAGAGGTAGCGAGTTACCCTTTTGACCCGTGTTTTGGTTGATAGTGACGCCTCTGATTGGTTTAGCCGGCGGGGCTCCGTTCGTTATCTTTGGTTTCTGATTGGTCATTGGGTTCGGCGAATCAGAGGCTTGGGTGTAATTGGTTGGATTTGGCGACATTGTGACTGATTTGAGGATGATGGGACTGTTTTTGTTCGAAGTGGAAAGCGATTTGCGGAACTTTCGCCGTTTTTCTTTGATACCTGAGCAAGGTTGAATTAAAACTTACCCGTGGTTGAATTATCTTTTTTAGCAGAGTTCAAGACATCAAGCATTCTAATTGAAGGAAAATGCGCTGCATTTTCGAAGCTACCAGAAAAAGCAATTTTTGCATGAAAATTATTTTTGAGGTTAAGACAACAATTAATATATCTCAACGGTTGTTGACATCAGAATAACATCATATCATCAAAGCGTGACGATGTAGCAAATTCTGTAGAAAAAATCCTTATTAAGAAACAGTTGGACAAAAAAAGTTCTTTGGCATGTTTAATGCTCGGTTGATCAAGAAAAACGCCCACGTAGAAACTCTAAAAAATACTTAATTTCTGAGCTACTGCTATCCAAAACTAACTAACCGATAACTGAACGGAAATTAAGAGCGAAGAACTTAAGGTCATTTCAGAGTTTACACTAATTGATTAATTATAAAATAATAAATTGTCACATCGCTTGACATTTGAGTAAAGGCCAGATATTGTATAAAATGATTGGCAAAAACTACTTTCCGTCTGGTGATTGCAGGATATGAATGGTTTGACAGTCGGCCTTCGAATCTGCCATTAAACTTGAAATATCATTGGTTTCGCAAAACTTATGAGTTCTCAAACTGCAGCGGCAATGTTTTCGTTTGCAATGTTCTCAGAATTTCGTCAGAATCAGAAGATATTTTAAACCTTTTCATCCGGATGGGCGTTGGCCTGTTGCTCTGGAAGTAGCACAGAATGTTCCGATCATATTCATAAAAAAAACCACGAAAAAAAAACATTGTTTTTTGTATCTTTTCTCAATTCAAAGTCGTGACTTGTACGCAATGTGATGTAATAAACTATTCAAAACTAGAGTAATTGGGTGACTTGTGCATAATGGTCATCTTTCGTCCAAAAAATGATAAAACAAATGAAAAAAAATAAAGAAAAAAATTTCAAAATTTTTTTCACATTAAATTTAAAAACTCTTTGGAAATTTTTTCGCCTAAGCAGCGCTAGATTAAGCTAAAATTTTGCCTATGAAATCTAAAAAGTTTTCGGATAACGACGTTAATCGATCGCTTTGCCCGCTCGAAATTAAACTGAAATTCAAAAACTTCAAACCGTTTTTACTTAACACTGAAATTTTTTTTTGACATTTTGAAAATCGTTTGAAACACAGCTAAAAGGGCTTTAGAATTATGTATCCCTCCATTCCAATGATACTTTTTCATTCGTGATTTTGCATTGAAAAAAAAGAAAGGAAAGAAAAAAACTAAACAACACTTGAACCCAAACTTTTTTTTCAGTTTTTCTTGCAGAAATTTTTTGAAATGTGGAAAAGTTTTTTTCCAAGGACGGCGGTATAGTAAACCGCCGAGAGTAAAATTAACTGGAGTTAAACTTAAGTTTTATGGCTTATGCCTCTAAAATAGTCCTGCTCGCTGACTTTTTTGCTCTAAATTAGACGAAAAATTATTATTTTCAAACTTGTTTTTCTCGACACTGGTTTTCTTGTTTTAAATTTTTTATGTTTTAACTTTTTTTAGGCAGAACCAGGTACCACAAATCGGACTGGGGGTTGAAAAAGAATCGGTCAGAAATTTTTGATTTTTTGTTCAATCTCGAGTAAAGAGAGCAGGCTTATCTTAAGAGGAGTTATTTGTGGTACCTCATTTTGAGTCGAAAAAAAACCAAAGTAGCTAAAACCTATCCGAATAAAAAAAAAATCGCACCCAAATCCATTGATTGCAATCTGAACATTGTTGTTTTTGCTCAAATTGCTACGCACTTATGCGAATAATTGCATTCGACAAACAATGTGTTTTCTTGAGCGATTTATGTTGACATCTAGGGCGCAACGTGATGCGGAAAATTTTTGTTCTAATTTTTTTTCATAAAATTTAAGTTGCGAAAGACCTTTTATTCTGGCGCACCCATAGAATTCGCTTTTTCAAGTACGAATAGCACTCTTTTTGGGAGTTTTAGCTTTAAAATGACGAAAACTCGTTAGGTTTTTTCGACGTTATTAACCGTTGAAACATATTTTTGAAAAACTAACGTTTCAAAAAAGCGCACATAATTGAGCAATGATAGCCTAAAAAGGAACTCTCCAGTCTCTTCAATCTATAGAAGAACAAAATAATGCAACAATAAGAAAAATTCTGACTATCAAGGGAAATATTACATGACCGTGTTTTAATCAAAATCTCCCAGCAGGTGCATTTTCAGACAAGAGGACCAAAATCTGGGACACATGCAGAAGTGGCAATGTCACCATCAATATCGTCAACAACACGCATAAGAGCGTCGATGAAAGTAATCCAACCGAAAAAGAAAGAGCAGGTCGAAATCAAGTCACGCTTTCAGCCAAAAAAAAACAATGTTACAGCCCTCTACAAATAAGTTTATGGATAGTTTTCCATATGCCATTTAACCCCCCCCCCCCGGTTTAAAAGATCGAGAATGGACGATTGGAGGTTTATCCCGCAGACATGTTGCTTCAGAGCGCTTTGTTTGGAGCTTCGTGTTATCGTGTTTGATAACCCCAAGTCGTTAACCTCAATAATAAAACAGAAATGTTGGAACTAGCTGATCAGAGGTCGGGGACTTATGTTGCAAAATTTTGATGCGACTTTGCGCGACACAAAGAAGATATGTTGCGACTCAAAATGGGTATGTTGCGACAATTTGCGACCGAAACATTTGCGCTACTTTGCGCGGCACAAAACAGATATGTTGCGACTTCCCGGGTCGAGGTTTGCGGTTTATGTTTCGACCGACTCGACCCAAGATGTCTATGTTTCGACTATGTTCAATCGAGGAAGAACATTTCCACCAATTTCGACCAAGGAAAAACGTTTTGACCGAGTTCGACCGAAGAGCTTTTCTCGACGCAGTCGGCAAGATGTTCGAAAAACCCGTTAAATATCAATGAACCACGGTTAGATTGGTCTAAATGGGCAGCGAGACGAGAGATCGCGGTGTTCGCAAAATATGGAATAAAGGTCAGAAACCTAGTAAGAGCTAGACCTGCACTAATTGAACCCGAAGACTATAAACGAACGCAAAATATCTGGTTAAGAAGAAGCACAGAAGAAAAAACGCCACGTAAGAAATCAAGGGAAGCTGGTTGTTTGGAAAAAAGATTTCAAAAAGCAAGAGAAGGAGGCGTATTGAGTAATTCTGTCCTATGGGAAGAAGCTGATGTGGAAGTCCGAAGTTTTTTTTTCATTATATGCCTCGGCACGGAAGGAGACCGCCAAGTACAACAGAAAATGCCAAGTCTCGACCTGCACAGTACAACAACAAAAGACCTCATGGCAATAGTGGAGGATATTTTTGTGCCAACAAGGATTATAGATACAATTTTTTTGTCGAAATCAAAAGAAAATTGAAAGCTTAGAACAATTCCACGCGTACCTGGTGGAGTTAGCTTCGCGTGCGGATTGCCGACACCCAGAAGATGATTGGGTTAGAGACATGTTTACTGCTCATATGCATATTGAAAAAATAGCGGGAGAAATTCTAGCCGAAACACGAAATCCTGAAGATGCACATAATTATGGGATTCGTCGAGAAAAAAGAATCAAATACAATCGAATCACAATATAAAAAGCGTTCGAAATAAAAAAAAACTCAATCAACTTGACTGAAGATGACCTCAACGGACACACTGTTAGAAGAAAAATAAGCCAGGTTTGCCATAGTCGATTTGGGAAGCCCAATGTCGCTCATAAGCAAAAAAAAACAGCCTTTCAAATATTTCCCACCGGGAGACGCGGCAAGAAAATTGGCATGTTGTAACGGCAAATAAATTATTCCCAAATTACGACTAATTATCGTACTCTAATCCGCAGGCAGGACAATACAAGCATCACAATTCATTATAGTGGATACTTAAAAAGCTAAAATAAAAGGAAAAAACCTACTCCCACAAATCGGAATAAGATTGATTCAGGAAAAACCACAGTATTACCAATGCTGAATTTACAAGAAACGGAAGAATCAAACACTGAAGTGAAACAGTGGGTTACAGAAACTTTCAAGCAGTTGTGCATTCGAATAGGAAAATCAGGAAATCAGGTAATGCGAACACAATTCAGCAAAGAAGCAACCACGGTTCAACAAAAAGGACGCCGAATCCCAATACATTTGCGAGAATTAGTTGAGAAGGAATTCAACAAACTACTCGATTAAAAACACATCATCAAACTGGATAAACGTCCGGATAGACAGTTTATTAGCCCAATCATATAACCGTAAAAAAGGATCAAACAGTCAAAGTGGCACTAGATTCCAAAAAGATCAACAAACTTATCCACAAAAACAAATATCAAATGCCAAACATAGATCTCCTCCTTGGCAATATTGCACAGGTGGTAAAATCAGATAAAACTCAACAAACACTAAATTCCACGCCCGATCTACAGGAAATGTATTCGTAAATTCCGTTGGACAAACATACGAGAGAGCAATGCAATTTTAGCCTCATCTAAGGCTACGCCACCAGGACTTACCAATTCAACAGCGGATTCTACGGCCTAACAGATATGCAGGCCGAACTTCAAAATGCAATTGATTTGACTCTCAAAACTGCACAAATTCATACGCCAATTTGGCCAACACATTGATAACGATTCCTTGAGCTATATAAAGAAAAATTACAAACAGTTTTACAAAAACTAGACGAATGAAACTTTGCAGTATCACTGGAAATTGTAAAAGTATTCAAACAACTAAAAAGCTTCATGGGCTCTGAACATCATCTCTTACGTTATATTCCTAATTTAGGACTAACCGCCGACGCTCTTTGCTCACTTCTTGAAAACACAGAAAAAAACAACCTCTTGATTGGAAACCTGGAACCAACGTAGCATTCAATAACATCCTAAATTTATTTTCAGAAATAACCCAAAACAAACATTTTGATCAAATTTTAGATGCCCGCGTGGTCTGCGATGCATTCATATCCGGACTAGGGACACCATCGGAGCACATTTTTTCTGAGGGCT